GACCACAAGCATACGTGACTACACCAACGCCTTCCGTACCTCAGGTAGATCAATCTGCTCGCTCAGTTTCTCCTATTACTGCTTCCACTTCCTTAGTCGACAAAGGTAATTTTGGTTTTGCCTTGCACACTACATTTGTTGCTCCCAATAAACCTTGGATCATTGATTCAGGGGCCTATGACCACATGACCAATCATTGTACATGGTTGTTTCTCACGCTACTCCACCTTTAAATACCGTTAAAGTTGCTAATGGTATTTCCACTCCAGTGCTTGGAGCAGGGCTAAGACTACTATCAGGTAGATAATCAACGTAACAACCTTTAAAACTTTAACTTGCTCAAGCAAATAGAAAGAACTTGCTTAAGTTGCTAAGTACATGTCACCTATCATCCACCATATAAGAAAACACTACGTTTATATTACAAATAACAGGGTGCAAGCCGAGAGGAAAACCAGTAAATCTACGAACTGTTTTGTTCCGAATGGAAAACAAAGTAACTGCAGAAAAAATTCATAAGTTTAAAAACTACATTACAGTCATGGACATTATCTGGTGAGCAAGAGCTGGATCTTGGTTCAATAGCTCCCTCAAGTTGCTCTCCACCTCTGCAACCTGTTTCTCGATGTATTCCTTTGAGGTCTGTCCAGAGCACAAAAGAAACAATTTATTTCTGCCAAAGTCCAATAGATAAAAAGTTCTAGTCTTTAAATTATCACATAAACATGACATCGAGTTTAAACGCATATTAACACAGATACTGGACAAGCTCAAGCTCAAGCTGTTCCATTGAGCATATACAAAAGCCTCAACCAACCAGCAAGTGAAACAACAAAACCTCCCAAAACAACCACGAATGCATGTAATAGCTGAACTAATAACAAGTAAATCTAAAGTGACTCCAGCCTTCCTCTGCATGGTTACGAAATTCCAAAATATGAATAAAATTGAAGGCTATGAAGATCTCAAAAGCACTCTTCCGCACAAAACCCCATTTTCTCTCCCCAGTAACTTTAAAAGGTCCTTTTGTTTCTTTCCAACTGTACCACCACACCATAGTGATTATGCAATTATTCCTCAATGTTCTTTTTCTTTACTCCCACAAACAAAGCAATGCACAATTTGAAATCATCAACAAGGCACCAACCCAATTCACGAATGTGAATATCAAACAATAGTTCAACAGTCTTCACTATAAACTAGATTATAAGTATGTTAAATTTATCTTCTTAAGCCTTACAACCGAACTAATTGGTTTGTTTAATTCTAAATGTTAAAACATTTTGACAATTTCTTTCTTTAATATTAGAAAGATTTATACGACATTTATAGCATTATACAGTTTTTGACATCTATTCATATGTAAGCTAATCAAATGGGGCACGCTTGCTTTTAAGCAGCCCTAAAATGGAAATACAACTTCACATGCCAAATTGTGAACTATCATATTAGTCCCTTCCAGTTTTTTTCTTTGTTTTGACGACCTGGAGGGAGGGGGAGAGAGAAGGGGGTGAAGATAGTCTTTGTTTGATGTATTCACTAGCAAAATGTCACCCCAACCCAGTAAACTTCTTCTGGAAGACTTAAATGTCAAAAGACAGAGCCTTAGTTGTGAAGTCAGTTGAAGGATCAGTTCACCTTATTAAACAAGGTTCATACGAGATGATCACATTCTACCCATTGAAACCTTCTAAAAAGTACAAGGTATTGTTTTCTCATCCATGAATTTGGCAGGTATTTAGACACACTCTTAGGACATAATTATAATGTTCTTTCCTATTATTACATCATTCTTCTATTTACTATGATGACAAATAACATAGCAACAAATAAAGATGGTCATAGCTTCATACAGATCTTTTAGGCTTCTTATTTCACATATCTCAACATCTTGGACGGATAAACTGAAACTAAAACCAACAACATATAGAATTTATAGATTCAAGATAACGAAACCCATTTATATGTGGCATTCAAATGGATGAAAATCAACAATATGACGGAGCCTTTACACGGAATGGATGTTGTTAACGTCTTTATAGCAGAGTACAATTTTGTCTGTGGAGTCTGGAGAATGCAAAATGAAGTTTCCTAGGAAGAGATGCACACAGTAGAGAACAAGTTCCTAAATGGGGACTAATAATGAGGCAAAGCAGATTCTGCAAGCTCGTTATTACTGAAACCTAAGTGTATAAATGCAACAAATTTATTGAGCATTGACATCTAAACTTTGTAGTGGTATCTCTAAAAGGTGTATTGAAATCGAAGGTGTATATATTAACTTTCTTCCCCACAACCATTACGAAACAAAGCAAACTATAAAGAAAGAAAAGGGACCGTTATTATTCAAATGAAAGCAGAGATATACCTGGAGCGAGGCGATTGCAGTCTCACTATCCTTGAGCTTTTGTTCCTGTTCTTTCACTAACACTGACTTCGGCTCTAACACAAACCTACCCAGCATAACAAAATGTATCATCAAATAGTATATCAGGCAGCTCACAAATCAACAACAAGACCTGAACAACTCTATCTAATTTCATGTTTAAATCCGGAAATCCGAAACTCACGTTCTCCCTGCAAAACAGATTAACCAACAAAATTTATCAAATTTATACCCAAAAAACATCATAATATAAAAATCAAAATCCCAAAAGAAATGGGTCACTTTTTTTCCCCGAATTAAAACTGAGAACAGAGAAAATGGGTTGCTTGAAACGAAGTACCTATAGATTTGTAAGTATTTGAATCATCAGATAGAGGCCGCAGCTCCTCCAAGGTTAGAAAAGCACGCTTCTTTTCTCCTTCCTTGTTCCGCATCTGCGTCTGCACCTGAAACCCACCTCAGTTCTCAGCAAATCAGTTCAATTTTCACCACCTATTTAAAATTTATTAATTAAAAAATCATCTGGATAAATAAAAAAACCTGCTTCAATTTCGCAGTGTGCTCGATCATGCGGCCTTGAATCTCCAAGAACGCCTGTAAAAATTTGATTGTTCTTGTAATTAGTAGCGAGCGAGATAAAGTGGAAAATCTAGAGAGAGAGAGAGAGGGACTTACAGCCCTGTTGGCTTCGTCGGCCATTTTTGCAATTGAAGCTTTCCTAGTCGGAGCGCGACGGAGGCTGAAAAATCAGAATTCTGAGCTCGCTACTCCTCGTCAGTGACTCAGTCATGATTTGGTAAATGGGTTTTGGGTATTCGGGTTCGGGTTTGGGTCTTCCAACTTCCAAGCCCCAATTAGTATTAGGATGCCCATCAATTCATAGGTCGTGCGTCCAGGTCTTTGCAAGGGATCTTCGTTTTGTTAATGCTAAACGCGTTTTTTTGTCAATATCTATGAGAACCATCAGTTGCACTCCGATGTGACCGGTCGTGCATATTCCGCTGTGTGCACGTGTTATTGTCTTCCGCAACTACGATAAACGTCATATGTTTATTGTGTAACTAAATAAGAGGTTTTAAGTTTAATTCTCGTCAATTATTAGTTTAAATCATATTATGTTAGCCTATTATGAGTCTAAGTCCATACTCTTTACAGTGTAGATAATATCGTTTGTTTAAAAATAAAAATAAAAACTATAACCATGCGAATAGTGCTTAATCATATATGATTGACTGATTATTAACATTAATGATATGAATACCATTACCACCATTTAATTTTCTGTTTTAATCATGTTAGTGATTCAAAGGAGTTAAAGAACTATAATTATGTTATGTAATTGTCTTTTAATCACGTATGTATGAATCATATAATTGATTAATAAATGACAAAGTTATTCGCGTTGCCATTTTTGCACCATGGATCAATAAAACAAGGACACTTTTTACAGAAAAATAAAATTAAGGATACGTCATCCAAAAGTGGATTAGGCAAACAAGGTAAGAGGAAAATGCGAAACATATACTTGACGCCAAAAGCCAAGAAAGTGACATATTAACTCGTCCGACTTAACAAAGTTTGAGAAATGTAAATGAGATTTTTTCTAAAAGTATGATTCTTTAAAGATTATTTGATCATTTTATATGTTTGATATAATTTTCGTGCTAATATTATAAAATAATGTGTTAAAAATATAAGGTGTCAAAGAATTCATAAAGAATCCCCCTTAGCGTTTCTTAGAATCTTTTTGTACTACCCTTTTTTTGGGGTAAGGCCTTTGGTAATTCTACTTTAGACTTTAGAATAAATCAAGCCTTTAATAAAAACAAAAAGTTTTAAGTGTTTGGTGGCTCTGGTTTAGACTCTTAGACTTGAAGTCTTTAGTAAGAGATAAAGAAACATATAATTTTAAACTTGGTCATGATCGCATATGTCGTTGATAATTGATCGAGAATTCAATTTATGATCAATTTAGTCAATTTATAATCACGTATATCGCTGATAATTGATTAAGATTAATGATTGAAGCTTGACCTATGATTAATTTAGTTAATTTATGATCATGTATGCTGTTGTAAATTAGTTTCTATTCCAAACGATAAAAAAAAAAAAAATGTCTATTTCCCAATACCAAAAAATGAAAATGATTGTTTCTTTGAATATGGGAGACTAGACTACTTCTTTGTCTTCGTCCGTCTCACGTAGACTCGGCAAAACAAAAAGCAAAAAGTGACAGAATATTGCAAGTGGATTAACGAAGTGGACTAAAACAAAAGTACCCCAAGAAAATAACAATTCACTCCCTCTTTGATTTTTCTATTGACGAAAAACCCAACTCATATTTAAATTTGCGTAGAGACTAACCACAACAGGTAGCCTAGTAATTGAAGAAGAATTTTATTCTCGTATTTCACACGACATGTTCTAATTCGATTTCTGATACATCAATGCTGGCCGAAAAGATAAACTGTTTTGACCAAGCTACAGCTGGTTATTTTATTATTTTTTTATTTTTTATTTTTTTAAACTTGCAGCGAATTCGGTACGTTTGGTTTGGCGCTTTCTTCGCCCCAATGCCCTTCCAATTCCAAACACGACAAATAAGGGCCAAATCTTTCTCTCTCTTCAAGAACAGCTTACCCCGTCTCTCTCCTCATTTTCACCGCTCTCTCTCCTCCCTGTATTTATCTTCTCCTTTCTTCAACCTTTGAGTGGCTTTCTGGTGGCCCAAGGAAAACAAACCAACGGAACCAAAAAAAAGGCACAAACTTTATCTCCTTTTCCCGGCCACCCACATCGGAACCCAGATCGAACCCGGACCCGAATTCTCAGAAAACCAACCCCACATTGACGATTGAGAGATGAACCCACAGTAGATATGGATGTGGGTCATTGAATCTTTTCAGTTGTCAATGCTAATAGTTGGAGGAAGGGAACGGGTTTGAGATGTGAAACCGGATTCGGGTGCGGATACGGGCTTGGTTTTCAGATTCATGGGGATTTGTTTGAGTTCTGTAAAGGACCAGCATTCCAATTATACACACGCCAGTCCTCAAGGTATTATTTATTTCATCATACAATTTCATTTCACATTTAATTCTGGAAAATATTGGAAAATGGTTGCTCATTAAATTTTGTATATAATGTTGCTTGCCGCCTTTAAATGCATTTTGCAGTTTTGGAACCTTTTTTTTTCAATTGCCATATTTTTTGGAAGGATTTATGGGTCTCTTAATAAGGAATGACTCACAAAGGCAGGGAAAAGTTTGGGTTTTTTCTACGGGTACTGCTGGGGTGAGTAAATTCGTAAATAAAATTTTAGAAATGAAAGGACATGAAAGTTGATGATTGTTTATTACTTAAGCGTTAATAAACGTGCGACATATCATTTAGTTTCCAAATTTAATCTCCTTAAGATTACCTTTCTTTTGCATTTTTTAATTTGTTTTTGAAGAACCAAAGTTTTCGGTTTTTAGTTTTTGTCATTTGTCACATTTTCTAACTAGATGATTGGATTTGAAGCATTTTATTGAAGTTTGTGAATGTGAGAATGTATGTGTCAAAGGTGGACAATTTTTAATGAAACATCATAGATTCTGATGTTGGAGTAGGTTATGTTTTCTTTCCAGGGATGCTTTAGAAATTGCAAGTATTTTGTGACATGAAGGTAAGAGGTTGTTGAACTTCTTGAACATGGTTCGGATATATGTGAAATGTCCATTCTGTGCATTTTCTGCGGCTAAAATATTTGTACTTCAGTTTCCGTATTTCAAAATTCAAAATTTTCAAACGCGTTGATTGGTTGAGAAGAAACTAGAAATTGTATTCTTTCTATGTTAGGATAATGGCCTGCTCAACAAAATTAGTATCGTGTGGATTTTTCGGAAATATTGGGTAACTGATAGAATCACTTCTCCCTTCTTCTTGTGAAAAAATTCAAATCGAGTAGGAGATGACTCTGTTGTATCTTCTCAAGCTCCAAGTAGAACATCAAACACCACTCCTTTGGCTTCCAAGAATGTCAAAGACCTTCGCCAAAGCCCCGGATATATCAATGTCAGCATATTTACTTATGATGAGATGAGTTTGGCCACAAAACATTTCCGGCCAGATCTAATTCTTGGTGAGGGTGGGTTTGGAGTTGTATATAAAGGAGTTATTGATGATAACGTGAGGACTGGATTCAAGACCACGCAAGTTGCCATCAAGGAGCTTAATCGAGAAGGGTACCAAGGTGATAGGGAATGGCTGGTATTTGACTTATCTTACCCTTTTATGTTATTTTCTGGGAAATGAGGCTTTATTGTAGTCAATTTTTAAGTTGTGCAAGTGAAAGGTTTTAATATACTTGGTTTCCATACCATTCATAGATTGCGGATTAACATTGTCCCAAGCTATTCCCTTTTTTCTTTCATCGTCTCATTTTGTGGTCATGGTACTATCGTAATAGATTTAGTCTAGCATGCTTTACAATCGAGTTATTCCCATAAGTTCTCTTTGGAGACAAAAAAGGGAAACATGTATGGTGCGTTTCATGTTTTCCTTAAATAGTGAACTGGCTAATTTGGGGAAAAATCAAAGAGATATAAGTTGATTTTAATTTTATATTGCAAGGATCTTCTCAAGGAGAGAAAAAATTAGCAAAATCATGTCCTGTGGGCTTTAGAAATGAATACAGTAGATGATCTTTCCCGCTTAAACAGGTAGTTCTTTCAACAATTCCTAGTGCACTGGACAGGATAGTTGGAAACCAGGAGACTTTATCGTCTGATTTCTATTAGCATTTTTCCTATGCATTAAGATTACTTTTTTATCCTTTCTTCATAGATTGTTGGTCTTGCAGGCAGAAGTTAATTATCTGGGACAGCTGAGTTATCCTACTCTTGTGAAGCTGATTGGGTACTGCTGTGAGGATGACCACCGGCTACTGGTCTATGAATACATGGCAAGTGGCAGCCTGGAAAAACATCTTTTTCGCAGTAAGTGTCGTGTGCCATCAGAATTTCGTGAGATACTAAGTAAAATGATGTCTTATGCCCTCTATTTCTCACATGTCATCCCTAAACTGTGCGCTCACATATCATGTACCGCCTTTTAGTACTTCTTTTTTCTTGTCTTTCCTTTTTGGGTAGTTTGTACGCTATTTCTCAATAGTCAAGACCTCCTTTGGAGTGTTACTATTTAGCTTCTAGAATCAAATGTTGCTCTTAATTTAAGAATGTTAAAAGTCGATCATCTAGCTTGACCTGTAGCATATTCTTCTTATCTTTATGACAAGACTTATTTTCTTCAGTTTACGTATTTGTTTCACTTCAAACTACTTGGAAACTTGAAACCTGTTCATGGAGATAGACACTTTTTCATCCTGCCTGGTTTTATGTTGGCCATGAAATGACTTTTTGTGAACGAGCGTTGTTTTTCTAGTGGTTCAATGTCTGGAATGTTATGTAGCATTGCTTATAAGTTATACCAAGTATGCTGCAGGAAGTGTACATGTAGACTGTATTGTAAATATTGAATCTTCCTCAAACTGCATATTGATCCCCTGAAACTACTAAAGATATCTCGAAATTATTTTTGGGTATTCTAGTTGATACTTCTGACACATCAAGAACTTACTGCATATTGTGTTTGTAATCATTTCTCTTGTTTTGGGTGGTAGGAGTGGGCTGTACGCTTACATGGTCAAGAAGAATGAAGATTGCTTTAGATGCTGCGAAGGGGCTTGCTTTTCTTCATGGTGCAGAGAGACCAATCATTTACCGCGACTTCAAGACATCAAATATCTTGTTGGATGGGGTTAGTTGTCTTGTTATCTTTTATACTGTGTTCTTAACTGTTGAGCATCTTATTTGATGTGCCGTTAGAAATATTTAAAAGAGCATACTTTCACATTGAAACTCAAACCACGCGATGAAGCCCACACGAACGTTAATTGTCATGATCCTTTATCTAAGTCTGGCAAACAAAGACAGGTGTTTTCTGATTGAATACTATTATGCATTTATATTTTTTAGGAAAATGAGCGATTTCTTGTGAATAACTTGTGTTGGTTGTTTTTACTGAAATTTGAATTATAACATGCAGGATTTTAATGCAAAGTTGTCAGACTTCGGCCTTGCAAAGGAAGGGCCAATGGGAGACCAAACCCATGTTTCAACACGAGTGATGGGAACGCATGGATATGCTGCTCCTGAGTATGTAATGACTGGTGAGTGGTTTCTTGCCACCGATTTATATTTGTAAAATGTATTTTCTTTTCTTGATAGGAACGGACAAATATCTTTTAGCATTTTTCATAAAGATATGCAAAGAACTGTCATGGATGTTATACATGGTTGACTAACATCTGATCATATGCATTGGTTTTCATCATGGTTTTTGTGCTTCTGATTTAAAGGAAAAATTGAGAGGAAGTTGTTTGAATATTGATAAGAACTATCCCCTCTCTCTTCCTCCCTCGTGTTCTCTCTCCATATACATCAGTTTGGCAAGTGCGTGGCTTTTATATGAATGCTTTTGCAGATGAAACAATATCAATGTCAAGTCTATCTCAACTTGGTTTTTTGTAGGAGTATACCTTTTAACAAGTAATATGGCATAATTCCTTATTTATTGTTGATAATATTTACATAATAGTATACTGTGACTGAGTATTAAGTTGATCCAAACAGGGCATCTCACCGCCCGAAGTGATGTTTATGGATTTGGAGTGGTACTTCTTGAGCTGCTCATTGGAAGAAGGGCAATGGATAAGAGCAGACCCGGCCGAGAACACAACCTGGTTGAGTGGGCTCGCCCACTCTTGAATCATAATAAGAAACTTCTGAGGATTGTAGACCCTAGACTGGAAGGGCAGTACTCACTTAAAACTGCAACGAAGGTGGCCAATTTGGCATATCAGTGCCTTAGTCAAAACCCGAAAGGGAGGCCCCTTATGAGCCAGGTGGTTGAAATGCTGGGTTCTCTTCAGACAACAGGAAACGATGAACTTCAAGGTGGAGAAGGTGGTGTAACTCTTTACGAGGCTCCGAAGGGAACCTTTGGAACTCCCGCCAGGAAGAGAGACCCGAACAGAAGAGACGGTGAAAGGGGTGGAGAGGCACGTAGAAGGAGCAAACCGGGAAATGGAGGTAGCAAGAGCGAGCCTATGAAGGATATCGATAGTAGTAACGTGTCTCCAGATTTTGTGACATGAAAAGTAGCTCCGACTGGATGGAGGGTTGAAACTGTACAAGATGAGATCAACTGGTCTGTCCATTTGGTGTTTTTGAGTTAAATCCATGCCCCGGGGCGGGGCGAAATTTGTGATTAACACTTTGTAATTCATTTTCTTCACACTGTATTGTAATCACTATCGTGTACGAATGAGATTATAATTTAGTAGAGCATCTCAAGAAAACCCTTTTTTCCCTAACTGTTCTTGTGGATCTCTACTCACCTTTTCTCTTTTCATTTTGTTGTACCTAATAATAATAATAGCAGTGTGTCTATTTGTACCCAGAATTATAACCGAAAAGTACAACACAAAGAAATGGTATTTTGACCATAATAAATTAATAACATCCACCATTATTGAAAACTCTTTGTCGAAGTAAAAAATAATAGATAAATTTTATTTGAACTCGTATACTTCTTTCAACACAAAACTTAAACTTTAAATGTGAATTGTCATTTTTGTCCTCTTGCATAATTACCATCAATACAAGATGAAATTAAACCCTCTATGTTCATTCTAGGTTAAAGGTAAAACCTTAACATGCTCTCACGGAGAAAAACAAGGTCTTTTTGACCAATTGATGATGATTTTGAAGTTTTGAATCCTAGTATGAATCGATTTATGCAAGTTTTTTCTTGTTTGATTTTAATTTTTTTAGGGTTGGTATCTTTCATTGTGGGAACGGTTCGGGTGCTGCTAGAAACAAAATCAACGCCTTTTCCAAACCATAATATTAGCATAAACACATATTGATTTTACTTTTTTTATTTTTTTAATCATTTATATGGGATTAAACAAAATCAGCACATGAAGGATTAATTCAAACATATATGCGATCAAGCAAAATCAGCTAAAGTAGATTAAGCGCGAGGCAAATATGTGAGAGATACTGCTATCTTTATGCCTTGAATGAGTTGTAGAACACTAATTTTGAATTTTTGTTTCTAAATGAATGCAAAGATAAATTTTATATATTGAATTTGGATTTGTGAGGGTAATTTAGTCAAGGTTCTAAAAGATGCTAGGCGCTAGTCTGGCGGTGAGCTAGGGCCTAGCATCTAGGCGGATTTAAGTAAATTTATTATATCATATAAATAAATGTCTGCTTATACTTAAAAACACATAATTGCATTGAGATACATAAACTACAAAATAGAATGACATATAGATTATAAAGCATTAGATCATAGACAAAATGAAAATTATCTATTTTCTGTCTAAGTGAGGTTCGCAATTTAGGCACGTGCCTAGGCGAATGCCTAAGCAGGTCTAGACACCCTTTCTTAATTTTCAAACGCTTAGGGATTAATCGGGGCAATGACCCTAGTGCCTAGGCCAAGATATTTAGAATAGTGAGTTTAGGTAATAATTTAAATTTAAAGTGATTGATAGTTTAATTAAAAGTAATATGAGTGTAGAGAATAAATTGGGGTTAAAAGGAAGTTACATAGGTTCAAATTAAATTTACCAAACAATCTTAGGCTATCTCTTACCCCACTAGTTGTTACAAATGCAACCTAATGGGTATTTAATATGTTATGTCACTTAATGAGATCATTTTTTTTTTTTTTTTTTGTCTCAACCACCGTCCCTACACTTCAACTCAAATTAGACAACGCATTGTAGTTTATACTCTGCAGTTTTGCATAAAAATTAAAAAAAAAAAAAAATCTAAAAGGTCGTTTCCCTAGAAAACATTTATGCGTACTATGCATAAGTGTTTTCAAGAGCACATTCCAAATTTTTAATAAAATCCAAGTAGTTGAAAAAGTGTTACTGAAAAAAAAACCCGACTTATGTAGAGAAGTGGTTTTGCTAACTAAACATCCATCACATTCATCATATTTCACTTCGTACGAGTCATCACCATCTTTTTCCATAGTTTATGAGTATTAGAGCTTCAATGCTGCTGACAACAGAAACGCTCCCGGTTTTCGTGACACGACGGAGAGATGGATGTGCACGTTAAACTACGTACTACAGCAAAGGAAATTCTAATCCAGGAAAAGATTCTAAATGACCCAACTATCTACCCTCGTCTGGCTAAAATTGTACAAACCACAACAACAAAGCTTTATCCCACTAAATAGGGTCAGCTATATGAATCCTAGAACGTCACTGTGCTCGGTTTTGTATCATGTCTTCCGTTAGATCTAAGTAGTCCAAGCCTTTTCAAAGTCTTTACAAGTCTTCCTAAGCCTTCCTCAACCCCTTTGGCTCTGAGTCCTGTCTTGTTATCACATCTTTTAACCGAAGCGTTTGTAGGTCTTCGTTACACATGTCCAAACCACCTAAAATTGTCAAACACCACTTAAAATTTCTAAAACAAGTTACCAATCGGAGTCTGCAAGTTCCATAACACAGCATAGCCTTGGTTTAATATCTGACTGTCACGAGCCTGCAGAAGTAGGCAATTATCGTTACCAAATGCAGGTGGACGGATAATTTTTCAATCTAAACGAGCGAAAATCGCATTAAGCATTAACATTTCAATTTGAAACACATTTTGGTTTCTGAGTAGAAATTACGTTGCATAAATAATGTATAAAAGCACTTGCCTGCTGCAACCAAGGAATTATGGTGTTGATAAACCTTTGTTCTGGGAGACATGAAGCTAAAGTGCTGAGAACATCCCTCGCAGTTTTAGGCGACAAGCACTCCAGAACTGGACCGGTTCCTTCAAGAAGCTCATCCAGAACAATTTCATCACCAGAACAAAGAGCTTCCACATATGCAGAGTCGAGGTCCCCTTCACTATAAAACCTTTCCAACTGTTTCCAGAGGTTATTCTTACTATCTACAACATTTTGTCTAACTTTGGCATTAGAAATAGAAGCTGAAGAAAACATAGCATCCGCCCTTGTTTGACCATTACTTATCCTCTGTGTTCCCTGCCCAGGAATTTTCCGAATGTCTTTTCCAATAGGATTCCGGGTAAGCTTCCCCCTATTATTACTCCATGTTTCTGCACAGTGTCCTGCAGAATTGTTTGTTCGGCTCCTGCCAATTGTGTTTTCCTCCCAAGTATCTGAAACAACGGCTGGTCATATCTATAGATGGCCTCGGAGTGCTTGTGGAGAGCCTTGGAGAATGCAAACTCTGGCTCTGTTTCATGAGTTTGGAGGCTGCTAAATTTGAATGCTCCCTCCTGTGTTCAAAGTTCTGAGCTAATCGGTCTACAACATCCTCTAGACCCACCACCCTTGTTTGAAACACAGACAAGCTATCCAGTATGCCAGATGTCAAGACCTGTGAACAAAGTTTAATGCAAGAGATAAGTTAGAGGGTTTAGACTGATTAACGTTGTATGGAAAAGAAAACCAATATATATTCTGACTTCTGAGCAATATTGTGGCAAAGTGACCAGCATATCAGATTTTCTCTAGGAGCTTACACAAAAGGTGCAGCAACTAACATATACGTATGTCTCAATGTATGTACCTGTACAAGATCCATTAAGTGTGACTGTTTGGTTTCAATCTCCACAAGTTGTTTTCTAATGCAAACCACTTCATTGACCATTTGCAAACAACATCCATGTCGAGTATGGGAACTAGATTCTGTCACAGTTGAATCCAGACTTCTACGGTCGTGTATCCTTTTAGAGTACATCTGTTTCTCACTACCAATCTCTCAGCTGCAAACCGCTGATTTCTTCCCACTGGCTTCTACGAACTACCCTTGACACTGCTATGAGTCACAAACTTCCCTCTAAGTCATCACTGACAAGATTTGACCCAGAAGAACACTGTTCTTTTTCATCCATAGGCACATATTCATATCCAATGTCCTGTGTGTGCTTGTAACATATGTGCTCATCCTTTCTAAAGTCTTTGTAATACAGCTACCTTTAGATTCTTCATTCTGAAATTCCGGCAAAGAAGCATTGTGGGTTTGCGGAACTGCAACTTCAAAATGCCAATCATCTTCGTTGGAGCGTTTATGACTTTTGCCAAAACTTGGACATGTCTTTTTAATAGACAAAGGGGCTCTGCTCTTAGTTAAGCCAGCAATAACTTTCTTGAGTGCGAGATCCTTCCGTCCAGATTCACTGGCACTAGTAATATCGCCGTAGTCACCGCCAAAGAAATTTCTGATGAAAATTGGTATAAACATTATGAGAAGTAACAAGGGAAGCACAGTAAGTCAAAATTTTGCAGATCTACAAAAGAAAAAGAATGACATCTTTATCATTACAGCAGGCTCTCTATGCACTAGTAGCATTTTTACTTTATTTTCTAATAAAACTTAACAACTACACCCTAGTCGTCTTCAGATTCTAGATGCATCTGAAAATGTCCACAACCCGTTGAAACTGCACCAGTTTCTAATTCTTATCAGCTTAATTGAGAGTTGAGACCATCCAGAAATAGCATTGCGGTAAAACCCAGCAAGTAAAACTAATCTGAAGCATACAAGAGCACATGAACGGGTCATTAAACCTTTTATAGAAGATCCAGCTTCTGAAGGTTCAGAAGCATCAGGTCCTGGAAGACTTTTCCAGCACCGCAGGGCCTGAAGGACCGTGTCCCTAACTGGTTTCACCTACAACACAAAAAGCACAAAAAAGATGTGGTTTAATAATCTGCATGAAAGAAGATTCTCCAAATGTAGATTTTAATTAACACTGACCTTGTCAAAGCGACATGATTCAAGGGAACGAACGCAGGAAGCCTTAAAAGAGCCCTGTTGGCTTCGTCGGCCAACATAATATGATTGAGAGGAAACACCATATAGCATGTTTTGCAAATAAACTAATAATATTGATGCAGATACATCAATCTGTGCATATATAATAACTTAAAACTGTTGTCTCGGAGTTCTTTCATGCCATACATTGTAAACTCACAAAAAAGGCCTCTCCCATTATGAGGAGTACTAATTCAAATGGTGCACATAGAAATCAATTAACAGTTCTTCATACAGCATTTGGGAAAACAGTATTTTTAATAGCTGAATCATAATAGACGACCTGTAATATCATGACAACTTTAAGTCATGTTTAACTTAAAGAATTCACCTGAATAATGCTTCTGTTTAACTCAATGATTACTGGCTTTGCCATGAAATGCGGATTTTTAGGCAACTTTATTGTTCGATTCAACATGGGCTGCAGAATTGAAACTCGAGGATCATGAGTATTGTCAATGGCCCTGGCTAAGCACAATGCTGAACCTGACTGCACCTGCCTGTTTTGTTCACCCAGAGCGTCGAAAAGTGGCCTGACTAAAACAACAAAGACCCCATCACCCTCACCCGCATCATTACTGAGTTTTGACGCTAAAACACCAACAGTCTCCACGCATGCATCTCTCACAATGGAATCTGGATCCCTGAGCCGCTTAACAATGCTGGCAACCATCTTACCAAGATGCATTCCAAGTTCCAACAAATCCCTCATGATATCTAACTAATATACCAATTAGTCTAAAACAATCCTTTCGGACTGCACTCTTTTGTTCTGAATCCATATCCAAAATACAAGAAAGAAACGGAGCGAACCCATCTGGGGTCAAGCACTCAGCCATTTTCTCAAGTTCCTCGACGCCTAATTGGTAAGTATCCCGATCAGCAAGCTTGTTCATTGCAATAACCACCTTGTTTTTCAACTCGAAAACTCCCTGTTGGGTAGTGACCATCGCAGGTCCACTCCCTTTAACAAGTGCATGTCTCTTTATCTTGAAATGCAGCAAAAAAGACCCAATTCGTAATTATACAAGATTAATCCTTTAAAGTTGGGATTACTGATGGAGTAATTGGTATTACAGACACATCCCAACTTTCGAAATTACAAGTAGCAAATCCTGTAAATCCAAAGTAGAAAACAAAAATTAAAGCAAACCAAACATTATTGATTATTATACCATGATGAACTAAACGGAAACTTAGATTTAAATCGAGAAATTTATTCAATTTTTTCTAGAAATTTATTTTATTTAAAAAAGTGAGAATTAAAGACTTAACTTTTTAATTCCTAGAATCATTTCACCGTTCCTTGAATTAGTGTTTTGAGCGTCACAAACTTAAATCCAAAGTTTTTTCTTCAACATTTACGAAACTCCAAATTTTTGAAATAAGAAACACTCTAGGACCCTAGAAATTTGAAACCAAGCACTTACAGATCATATTCTCCGTTGGTTCCTTAGTGGAACTACCAACATTCGGAATTACTCGCCGGATTAGGAGGCTTTCGCGTTGCTATGTCAGAGCCAAGTACCAGAGCTTCCTCCTCTCCCATTTTCTCTTATTTTCCGGCGCTTTCTCGACAACCAAACAAAAAATCTTGAGAGAGGAGAAAATTTTGAAAGAATGGCTTTGCGACTACCGAAATTTGAAATATTGTAAATTATAATCTCAGAGAGCGTTTCCGGGACGGAGTTCGAGAAAATCTGAGAGAGGGAGAGAACGTGAGTGTTTTTTTTTTTTTTTTTTTTTTTTTTTTGGAGAGATGGTGGGGTTTGAATTCAAATTTCGCGCTGGTGTTTGGGTTTTCAAATTTAGAAGGATAATAATACTTGGGTGAGAAATGCTAAGGGTGCGTTTGCTATGCGGGACGGGACGAAACGGAGTGAGACGAAGCGTTTCATCTCATGTTTGGTGCGTTTAAAACACGAGTTTTGGGTGAATTTTCATTCCGCCTCACCACTGGAACGACTCGTTCCACATCCGTGGAACACAAAATTACAACATTTTAAGACAAAAATACCCCTGATCTTTTTCAATATTTACACCATCAAAAAAACAAACCCTAAGCTCCGTTTGGATACAGTAAAATAAAACAGAATTTCACTTAAACTAGGGAATTAGGATGGGAAAGCAGTTTTCCCACGTTTGGGAACCTTGCTGCGAGAGAAACGGCAATTTCTACGGGAAAAAAAGGGGGAAATTGGGGATGAAGATTACCGAGTTTAATTTCCATCTAAATAGGTGGAATTTCACAATTCCAACAATAGAGAGAATCCCAAATCCATCGGGGGGAAATCTTGCAGGCACCAAATTTCATGATTAAGGCGCCAAATTGGGATGATTAGCGCCAAAGTTCACAGTAAAAAGGGCTTCACTCTATTATAACTCACCAATCTTCGAAGGGATTCTCGCTCGTGCTTCATCTTCTTCCTTCGTTCTAGGTCAGCCTCTTCCCTCTTCTCTCTTCTTTCTTGAATTATTTTAAGCTTTTTGGGTATACTCTTTATAGCAATTGTGAATTTTGGTGATATGCTTGGTGTGCTTATGAATTTTTTTTATCCGATTGACAGCATCTTTAGTTCCTGCTACATATCTTCTGCGTTTAGGGTTTGTAGGAATTTATCAGCTTCTATTTTCAAGCTGTGGTCTAGGTTTTGCAGACTTGCTTTTCCCCAAAACTGATGATTTTTGTATGAATTTGAAGGAGGTTGGGTTTCAGTTATATTTGATTGACTTGCTTTTCCCGAAAACTGATGATATTTGTATGAATTGGAAAATTTGTAGCTTAGAATTAAGACTTCTCTGTACTCTTTAAGTTTTTTTCTTTTACTTGTCCTGAAAATGAATAAGTAAGGATAGACTTATTACCTCGACACTTTCTTTGTGGTCACGGTTCTATAATGTAACTTCCACTGTTGTTGATAAGAAATTGTTACTTATGTTTGATACTTGTCCAACTACTTACTGGCAGAACAGTTTGTGCTTTCATACACAAAACATGAAAATCCACAGTTCCAGAGGTCTTAATAATTAATACATTGATCATGTCTCTAATGCAGTTCATGAATGATGCTGCTCCTAGTCTGAATATCTTTAATTATGATGTATGACACGCAGAAGTAGCAATATGAAAATGATGATTCTGTTAAGCCACCGAAGCAGGAATTAAAAGATTGAAAATGATGATTTTGATGGCCTTTGGTGTTAATTTAGAAAGTTCCTTGATTTGAATGTGACAAGCAGAAGTAGCAATATGAAAATGATGATTCTGTTAGCCACCGAAGCAGGAATTAAAAGATTGAAAATGATGATTTTGATGGCCTTTGGTGTTAATTTAGAAAGTTCCTTTATTTGAATGTGACAAGCAGAAGTAGCAATATGAAAATGATGATTCTGTTAAGCCGAAGCAGTAATTAGAAGATTGAAAATGATGATTTTGATGGGTGATGGCCTTTGGTGTTAATTTAGAAAGTTCCTTGATTTGAATGTGACAAGCAGAAGTAGCAATATGAAAATAATGATTCTGTTAAGCCACCGAAGCAGTAATTAAAAGATTGAAAATGATGATTTTAATCGCCTTTGGTGTTAATTTAGAAAGTTCCTTGATTTGAATGTCTACTCTTTTGGTTAAAACAGAAAGTTGCATATCCCATAACTGTTGTTGCATGTCACAATATATCTTTGTTCATATATTCAAACAAGTATGGAAAATACTGATGTTGTAGACATGGTAACGAGGTTAAAGCGAAAGCGTGCTATAAATGAAGAGGAAAATAGGAAAAAGAGGAAAATTATTGTCGGTACGATTATATATGTTATTGTCATTGTCATGCATTGGTATAGTAAGAGTGTTCTTCTCAAAGAACCTTCAAATGATTGGGATCAAGAAAGACAATCTTTCCTCGGCCGATTGTTTAATGGAAAAGATTCAACTTGCATTGAACAATTACGAGTTAGCAAGAGTGCATTTAAACGGTTATGTGAAATTTTACAAGGGATTGGTGGATTAGTTCGCACTAGACATGTGTCCATTGAAGAATCAGTTGCAATTTTTTTGCATATACTTGCCCACAACTTGAAGTTTAGAGTCGTCGATTTTCACTATTATCGTTCCAAGGAAACAATTAGTTGGCAATTTCACAATGTGTTGCATGCAATGATGAAAATAAGTCAAGAATATGTGAAATATCAACCATGCATTATTGGTAATTCTGAAAGAGAGAAGTGGCGGTGGTTTGAGGTAATTCTGAAAAAAATTATATGTTTGTTTGATATCTTCACTGGCTTTTTAGACTTTAATCTTTTTTTCATTGTATGAAATTTTTATTTAGAATTGTCTTGGAGCACTTGATGGAACTCTCATTCCGGTAACAATAACGGCTGAGGAAAGACCAAGATATCGAGATAGAAAGGGTGATATATCCACTAATATGTTAGGAGTTTGTGGTCCAGATTTAAGATTTTTTTATGTGTTACCTGGATGGGAAGGCTCTGCATCTGATGCTCGTGTTTTGTGTGATGCTTTACATAGGAGTAACCAGTTTCATGTTCCAAATGGTAATGTGTGATACCAATTAGTTCTATGTTAGAAAAACAAAACTTTAAAATGTATCTAAATTTGTTCTCTAAATTTTTATTGTAGATAAGTATTTGCTTGTGGATGCTGGCTATACTAATGGACCGGGGTTTTTAGCACCTTACCGTGGAACTAGATATCACTTGAAAGAGTGGGTTGGAAACCGTCGACCTGAAAACTACAAAGAATTATATAATTTGCGTCATTCAAGGGCAAGGAATGTTATTGAGAGGGCATTTGGATTGTTAAAAAAACGATGGAGCATATTACGCACACCATCCTTTTTTGATATTAAAACACAAGTTAGGATTATAAATGCATGTTGTATCTTGTATAATTTTATTAGAACTGAGCAAGCAGCTGATCCAGTTCTAGAAGCTCAAGATTTACAATTTTTAGTATCTGTGGACTCAGAGTTGTTAAATCGTTCAACAAGAGAGGAAAATGAAAATAACTCTGATGGGATTACATCTGTTCAAGCTACTGCCGAATGGACAGCATTTCGTGATACATTGGCATTGCATATGTTCCATGATTACCAAGCTCAGAGAGTTGCCAATACTTCTTAATCGAAAATTAGTTGTTTTTCTTAGCATGTTATCTTTAACGTCTCAGTTAATAATTTTGTCAATGACATTATTGCTACGAAATGCATTAAGTTTTTAAATTTTATGGAATGCCCCGGTTTTCAGATTTTGATTTGATTATATTGTCTTAATGAATGCTAATACTCTGATTCTTGATATGCATGCTATGAAATGCATTAAGTTTTTAAATTTTATGGAATGCCCCGGTTTTCAAATTTTGGTTTGATTACATTGTCTTAAATTTTATGGAATGCCCCGGTTTTCAGATTTTGGTTTGATTATATTGTCTTAATGAATGCTAATACTCTGATTCTTGATATGCATGCTATGAAATGCATTAGTTTTTATATTTTATGGAATGCCCTGGTTTTCAAATTTTAGTTTGATTATATTGTCTTAGTGAATGTTAATACTCCGATTCTTGATATGCATGCTATGAAATGCATTAGTTGTTATATTTTATGGAATGCCCTGGTTTTCAAATTTTAGTTTGATTATATTGTCTTAGTGAATGTTAATACTCCGATTCTTGATATGCATGCTATGAAATGCATTAGTTGTTATATTTTATGGAATGCCCTAGTTTTCAGATTTTATATTGATTGTGTTGTATTAGTGAATAATGATACTCTGATTCTTGATATGCATGGGTTTACGAATGACTTAAAATTTCAATTAATATTTGTTTAATGTTAGGAGCAATGGAAGGATTTGATAGAAAATCAGTATGCAAACAAAAACCAAGGAGAAAGAAAGAGAACCAAGGAATTGAAAATGAAGGAGATGCAAATAATTATTTTAGATGGAATGTAGATATGGAACGTGCTTTGGCTGACATACTTCATGAAGAATGAAGATTGGGTAACAAAGGAGATGGTGGTTGGAGGACAACTGCTTATAATTCTACTGCATCTATATTATCTGCTCAATTTGATATTCATGTAACTGCTGATAACATTCGAAATCGTGTGAAGTCTTGGAAAAAGTTCTATGCAATTGTGAGTGATATACTAAGTCAAAGTGGATTTAGTTGGGATGCAACCAAAAAGATGATAAGTGTAAATGAAGATCATGTCTGGCAAGAGTACGTGAAGGTATGACAAATTCATTATTTTTCTTTTGTGTGTGTGATATTATTTTAACTCTTCTTATACTTACGGTTTGCTTTTTTGATTTTTATGTTTTGATTGGTAGTCACATAGTGGCGCTAAAAGTTTTCGTTGGAAGGTCATTCCAAATTGGGATGATATAGTGGATTTGTGTGGCAAAGATAGAGCCACGGGTAAGGGTGCTGAAACAGGTGTGGAGGCTGTTGAGATTATGACTCCTCCGCATAATGAAACTAATCATATTGATTTGGATGGTGATACGCAAGGTTTATAAGATATTGAAATTATTAATGATATATCACCTACGTCAGCCAATGTTCAGAAGACTCAAAGTAAGAGAAAGCCAACAAATTTTGTTGATGTGCCTCATACAAAGAAAAAACCAACCACCCCTAAAGATATGATTGCAGATTCACTTGCCAAGATGGCTTCATCCTTTCAAGAATATATTTGTGCAAACACAAAGAAGCTTGATCCAACAGAGGTATATGATGAAGTAAATGCAATACCAGATCTCAGTGAAGAATAACAAATCAAAGCATGTGCTTGGTTGATCGAAAATGACAAGCAATTTCTCATGTTGAAGACACTCCCAGTCGAGAAGAAAAAGAATATGGTATTATTGTTTACTTCACGGGGCGCATAGGATTATTTTCATTATATTTCCCATTTTAGTGTTTTCCAGTAAGATTTTAGTTAGAATAAAAGCCTTGCATGTCATGAAAGTTCATTGACATTTGCAAGTATGCTTTACTGGGATTTTTCTACTTCAATCAACTTTATCACATTATTGCAGACTCATCACATTATTGCAGCTATTAATTGTTGGAAAATTTACTCTGATTTTAACTACTGTCTTGCTGATGTATCATTTTGACGCAAACTGATGAAATGCCTAAGAAGGATGTTGTTTCTTGGACTGAGTTGATACTTGCTTATACCAAGGTTGGGGATATATGGAATCAGCTCGGGAGTTGTTTGAGGGGTTGCCTGCAAAAGATATGGTGGTGTGGACTGCAATGGTTAATGGTTATGCTCAGAATGCCCATCCAAGATACGCGTTGGATTGCTTTTAGAGAATGCAATGTGCTGGTGTAGGGACTGATGAGATTACGTTGGTTGGTCTCATTTCGGCTTCTGCACAATTAGGTGCGTCTAAGTATGCTAATTGGGTTCGAGACATTGCTGAGAAATCTGGTTTTGGAATGTTCTTGTGGGTTCTACATTGATAGATATGTACTCCAAGTGTGGAAGCTTGGATAATGCATTCAAGGTTTTTTTCAGGGAGTGAGGGAAAGAAACGTATTTTCTCATAGCTCAATGATTTTTGTTTGATGACTTTAACCTTGATGATTTATAACCAGTTTAACATTTTTATTCAAATTTGTATTCCTCTATTTAATACAAATTCTAGAGAATATCCAAACAATGAAATTTGGAATTCCCTTCATTTTGTAATTTCTATTAACGGGAATTTAATTACTGTCAATTGTAATTCCCGTCATTTAAAATTCTATCTTCTTCGTTCCATCTTCTTTGCGTACGCTGCCTTTTCCCGTAGCCTTTCTCCTCATCCTCTCCCGTAGTAGCTGCATCTCCAGGTTCGATCTTGATCTTCTCTCATAGCCGCTGCATCTCCAGGTTCGATCTTGATCTTCTCCCATAACCGCTGCATCTCCAGGTTCGTTTTCTTGATTTTTCCATGGAAATTTTCAATTTTCTAGGAAAATAGGATGATTATGAGAAAATAAGTTAGTTTTCTTGGTTTTTTTGGTTTAACTTGTGCTTGGGAAAAAGAACAAAGTCTGATTTTTAAGGTTTATTACGATTCTTGTTTGTAAAGAATTGGATCTGGTTCCGAGCTGTGCGATTTAGTGGGTTCGATGCCTTGTAAATTCCGGAGCATGAACACATTTTGGAAATACTATTTCGGTGAGGCAGTGGCTCTGTACCCGACCATATTCATTGGTGGGAATCACGAGGCTTCTAATTACTTGTCGGAATTGTGAGTCCCTTCTTTAACTATAATCTATGGCATTCTCTTCCAATTGTTTTTCATGTCATTTTTTTTGCTTCGGATGAATGATTGTTGCGGGTTTTTTTACTTGTTTTTGCATCGGAGATGCTGCACCTACTGATGCTACATATGAATAACGTGCTTTCAGCCTACTGATGTTGCATCAGTGATGTTGCATATGAAAACCAAAAGTTGCAATACTGCCCAAAACAACAGTGCAAAAAAAAAAAAACATATATATTGTTCACTGGATTTGCTTTTTAATTGATCATATATATTGTTCACTGGATTACCTTTTCCACTAGGAAGTAATTTAGCTTTGTAAAAAGATGTAGGCAGATATTAACTTAATTGCATCATGTTTGCTCCACTAACAATATGTTTCTTTGTTTTACATATGTAATATTATGGCTTCTTTGATAGATTATATGGCATCTCATGTAATTGGAATGATCATGACGAGGAAGAAGAAAAAAAATATAGTGTACAAAATATATCATAGATAAGCAGCAGCAAGAAGAAGAAGAAGAAGAAAAAAATGTTCCGTCCCGTCCCAAACATTGTACCAAACAACAGATGAAACTGGGGTAAGTTAGTCATTTTAATGTTTTGGTTTCGTTCCGTCCTGCGCTTACCAAACGCAAAATGGAACAACTCTCCCGTTCTATCCTGCGCATACCAAACATCACATGGAACCACTATTCCGTCCCGGCCCGTCCTATCCCGTCCCATCCCATCTCGTTCTGTCCCATTCCGTCCCGTTTGCGTACCAAACGGCCCCTAATTGCACTAGGGAAATATTCTTTATGGTGCCTTCAAGTAATGGTAATGTTCATCACTATATTTGTACCTTTTTGTTGCCATTCGAATTTCCTACGCAGAATTAATGAATAATTTGTACCTTTTTGTTTTGTTTAAGAAATGGGCCCTAGCTAGAATTCAATGAGGGGCTAAACAGCTACTTGGCTAGAGAGAGTCTTGGCGGAATCACTTGCTAGCAACTCCTTTTAATTGGACCAAATCAGAAAATGATTGCATAGAGCACTCGTTAGCAATTCTTTGCTTGGAAGGGCATTTTGTTTTCTCAAGCTTATCATGTTCGAAGCATTTTAATTTATAGTTTTCAAGTATATGTTTGGCCTCATCTTCTGTTAAGTTAATTTCAACGTTGGGTCAGGAATTTTTTCTGGTCAGGTGATTTGGACTCTCATGATACTCCCTTAATTTCTTGGCATGTTTGTTGTCGCCCAAAGTATCTTGGTGGCTTGGGACTAAAAGGTTTAACAGTATGAATTGTTCATTACCTTTAAAGCATTGTTGGGACTTCTTCCTCATATCTAATGGCTATTTTCATGCGTGCTCGCTTTTTGAATAAAGGTTTGATTTTCTACTTATAAAAAGTTATCGGTGTGACTGGGTTTTAAAAGGGTTCTTCTTATTATCTCTTCACATTCAACTTGAGTTTTGGGTGATGGTTCTCAAATTTATTTTTGGTCCGATAGTTGGGTGGGCAGGCCCTTGATTTCTTATTTTTGAAATCCTTAATGCTCTTGCTTATACGACCAAAGACTTAGTGAAGAGACTTCATATGTGGTTCTCATTGGGAGTTGTCGGCTGATTTCATTACTATTTTCCTTGAGGTGGCTACTTTTATAACTACTTCTATCCCTTTGCAGGCATCTATGGACTCTTTCTATTGGTCTGGTTCTCTCCTAAATATTTTTACAGCTAAAAAGGCTTATTATCACTTGCTTAACTATGATATCCAGGTGCAATGAAGGAAAATCATCTGGTCTCATTGCATTCAACCAAGGCAAAGTGTTACTAATTGGAAAGTCCTACAAGACTGTCTCCTCACTAATGTGGTGCTCTGCATATGGGAGTTTCAATGGTTTCTCGTTTCTTATTTTGTAATTCAACCGTTGCTCTCACATTTTTTTGGAATGTCCTTGGATAGTGGATCTTTGGTCTTAGTTGTTGGAGCTGTGAAGTCTGAACTTAAGCTTTTTATCTTTCCTTATCAATATTGTAATGTACCACACATGCTCTAATTAGTTTGAAGATATGCTCTCATTAAGGCTTGTTGCTGTTGGAAATAAATGTTCGAGTCTTTGGCACATCACCTCAAGGGTTTGTTCATGCATGCATTTAACATTCTAAATTCCTGTTACATTTTGACTAGTAATGTTGTCTCGTCAGTATTGCTACCTGCTTTCACGCAAGCTACCATGCAATTTAAGACTGCCCACATGGACTGACTGACACCTTTTTGCTGAGAGCCAGTTTTTTAAACCTTGATATGCTCATATCGTTTTTTTTTTCCTTTTTCTTTTTGTGTTGACAAGTGTCCTTGTTCTTGTTGACTAAAAACAAACAAACCCTTTTGATAAAACCAATCCTAGGTTTCATTTCTTACTTGGTTGTTCAGATTTTATGTTGTAGAGAGAGAGCGCATTAAAGCTTTGAGCTTTCCCTTTTCCTCATTAATGAAACTCTAATTGCCAAACCATTTTTCATGCAGAAAATTCACAATCATTGAGAAATAGGTTTGCATTGTTTTCATGGTCTAGCTTTAAGTTTCAAATTGTCATATAGACCCTTGTTTGGATACTCAATTAGTTTCTTCCTTCAACTATTTGACCGGAGATACTAATTTGTCTTTTGAATCCACATTTCATATCATCTTCATCATCATATCATCCTACATCATTTTGGTCTTGGTGCCACAAGAATATCCGTCTGGTAACAATTTCAGGAGCTTTTTTGTCATCCCTCTTTATTGGTAGGATCAAGTTTTTTTTTTTTTTTTTTTTTTCAAAAGTCTTCTTTCAACTCTTTTTGGTTCAACTCGAAAACCTTGGATTATAGTAGCTTGTACTTTTATATGGGGTATTTGGTTTCTTCTTAATCAAATTAGGTTTGGGGGCTAGTTTGCTTCATTGGGTTATACCAAGTGCTGGCTAGGGCTCGGTTTTGTGACTTGGCACTAGTGTGTTTCCCAAGTTGTAGCTCATCGTTTTCAGTGTTGGAGTTTCAAAACACGTTCAGATGCTACGCAAAAATAAAAATTGTTAGTAAAGATAAAAATTGACACTCATAAGTTGATTCGTAATTAAAATACTTAAACACAATCACTATCCTTGCCAACGATGCCGGAAATGTGGCATGGATAATTAGACTGCTAACAAATAACAAATCTAAACACAAATTCAAACCTCGCAAATATACGAATCGAATAAGATAATATAATGACAAGCAAGGGTCAATTGCATAGAGATGAGATTAATTAAAGCAAAAATAATATCAACTCAAAAGTAGAATCAATGACTCTTTTTATTTTATTTTCGTATTATGACCAACTAAACACTAAAGCATTCAACTAAAAATCACAATTTGGTTGATTGATAAGCAAACAAGAAAACCAACGAAACAAGATGGTAAAAGAAAGAAATAAAACACAACAATGAATGAATGATTGTAATGAATTAGGATTGTAATCTATGGATGGTGAGCCTAAGGTTGTAGAATCCACACTCAATCATACGCTTCTCAATTCAATGCTCCGTTCATATAATTCCAATTTATTTTTTGAAGTTTACCTACAAAAAGGTCTTGATCCAACTCAATTTGCAATTGTTTCCCATAAATATGATTTCTCCCAATGGTCATGGTAAGAGTCAAATATTTTTGTATACAACTAGCCTATGGTCAAGGTCGAATATAACATCCAACAATCCGTTAAACTCTTTGGAAACGATAAACATACACACCATACAAGTCTAGGACTAGCTCATATGCATATGCAATCTCTAAATCGTTGTGCTTATATGTAAAGTAAGACGATCACTCAACACAAACAAATACAATTATATTTATGGAATAATGGTAGCTAAGCATCAAACCATATATAATCAACGATAAATTACGTTTTGAGATTCAAGAACCCAAACATTAAAATTGCATCAAGTTTGCATTGAAATTGAGAAACTAAATCTAAGTGTTTCATTCTAACCTTAGTATGAGAGGTTTAGCTAGACATGAAAATAAAATACAAAGAAA